TTCTTCTGAGAGTTTTTTGAAATTAAGTGATTTCCTGATAACTTATTTTAACACCAAAGCAGATACTGTTTGCTGTTTTCATTAAATAAAAATATGTATAAAATCCTTCCATGAACCTTTGCTTTCTGTTTTGAGCATTTTCCTGCCTGCTGCCCTTAACATTTTTAATGTTTATGGGTCCGGGAAGCAGTTCCAACCCAAGTTTTTTCCTTCTATGGCCAGAGCTGTGCACAAGCAGAGTCCAGGCAGGTACAGAGCAAACCTTCTGCAACGCCTTGCTACTAAACGGGTGCGTAGTGTCAGCCCCAAAAGTACCCCGGGCTGTCGCTTGGAGAAGGTGTAAATAACCTGCGGCCAGGCCCAGCAGGTGATGGAGGTGTCCCGTGCACACCGTGTAAAATTCTTTCTACGGCTCCCTCTCACCGTTTCTCTCCGTTGGCTGGTGGAGTCGGTGCATTTCTTTCCGTTGGTTTTCTGAAGTTCCCGCAGGCGTGGGCCGTGCCGAGGAGCAGAGGAGGGGTGGGAGAAAGGATGCTGACTGCAGCACTGCGTGCTCCTGAGCGTTGTGGCCTCCCGAACTGATGACTTTGTTCGCTTCTAGTCGCTATAACAAACAGCATCACCTTAATTAACTGCAAACTCCTGCTCAGATGGTCTTACTCGGCTTAAAAAGTGGCTTATTTCTGTCTTGGATTTATCTCATTTCTATAGCATAATAAGCGTAGATGGAACACTTCTAGCTCCATTGCTAGGAGTGCCTTGGGGTGGCTACGGCTACTGACACGGTATTCACGCAGCATTGCGCCTGGCGATAAAGACAGGGGGGTGTAGCGTGTATACTTCAGGGAAGAAAGTGAACTGCAGTGCCTTTTCTACCTGTCAGGAGGCAGATAGTCTTTCAAGGAAGAAGCTGGGTTTAACTCCCAGTAATGAGGTAACCCTATGATACAGGTTGCTGAAATGCCAGGAGCAGCGGCAAGCTGACCGAATTCTGTGACTGCGTTTGTTCAGTTCTTGCTGAGACCATTCAGCCTGCTTTCCTCAAGGAAGGGCTCAATGTTCCCTGGTGTTGTGTGTCTTGTTGGCTTTGCCGTGACTGCTGGAAGAAACCCTTAAGTGCTCCTACGACACACAAAAAACTAGCGCGGTGGTATTACCTGCAGCTGCCCGCTCTGCGCTCACGATTATGCAAAGCTCTTGCTGAGCTGCTGGATGCTTCTTTAGCATCTGCTCTATCCAGGTTTTTGGCTCAGTATCACTTCTGTTCAAAGCAGGCTCTTCTGTAAGGCAGGCTGCTTTAACTCACCCTCGCCAGCTGTCACCGGTGAAGACCGACTGCCTTTACCTGTCACCGTGATTCTGCGTGTCTAGAGCGCCTTCTCGCACCACGCGGGCTGTCGCCGGAGTTGGTCCCGCCTTCACAGGACTGCTCGCTCTTGCGCAGAGAGCACTTAGGTGTGGGCACCGTGCAAAATTAAAAAGAAAAGGCTTATTCTTTGCACTATTCTAACTTACTGCAGAAGGGATCCCTAAGAGGAGATGACAACGATCAGCGCTTGGCTGGTGGGCTGTTTGCACATTATAGCTTGTTCACGCTGACTTGGAGCATTCAGAGACTGTAGGAGTTAGACATAATCTCGTCTGGTTTACAGCCCTCATCTCTGACGGTTTGTCTTCAGAGGTGTAATGATAGAACATGACTTTTAAGCTCTGCCTCAATTAATGTTTTTAACTGCTAAACCAGCATCTTTCTGTCAGTCAGCAGCCTATGAGGCCGTTCCTACCGTCTGAGAGACGGTGGTGGGAAGCTGACCAGTTACCTTCCAAAGAACGTGACGGTGACGTTACTGCAGCAGCGTGGCTTCTAAGCAGAACTGACCCCAGGTCTTCGACCACCAGAGATGGTCCAGCTTCTACGGTGGCACTAGAAAGGGCCCACCAAGTAAACGGCGAGCAGCTCCGTCGGGTGGTGGGCGCAGACACCTTCCTGCCCATGCGAAGGTGGCGTGTGCTCACCGAGAGTAACGCTGCGCTGTGTGGTAGCTGTGCTGGAGCCATGCGACTATGGCAGGCAGGTTCCACGCCACCTCAACATCTCCCTGAATACTTAATGCAAAATTCAAGGCCTATTTCTAATTTAAATTCCTTGCCTTCCTAATTTGAAAGATATTAAGTTTTGGCCTTTGCTTTTAAGCAGATGGATGCTCATCATTTACTCATAGGGTCCCTTTTTGTGCCACCCTATCTGTTAGGTGCAGGAAAAATTTGCATTAGTATTGAGGTAGATCAAAAGATTTTCTCTTCACATATGCTGCAAATAATGTCTTTTTCTGGAAGAGGAAAAAAAAAAAAAAAAGAAACCCAGTCCTTCAGTCCTTTCCAAATGGTTTGTGAGATGACCATGATCAGTGTTTAAAAAAAAAATAAAAAAATCTAACAGCCCCCCTCTCCCCAGTGCATCATTTTATAAGTACACATGGCTTCTAGTTTAACATGGGTTTAGTATTTAAATGTTTCCCCAAAATTCATTGTTTTATTAAAAAACCCACCAAATGAAACCCACCACCCACCCAGAAGGATCACCCTAATTTATGGGAGCTCTAAAAGGTAGTAGGATGACAGATAGAGGGGAAGGTGATCAATTAAGACATTAAGCATTTTGCACCACATGGACGCATCTGCATGTCAGCCAAATAATAAGGCCATCAGCTCATTTTCAGGGGGCTGTTGCCTACTTCAACTCAATCCTCAGATCAAAGAGAAAATGTCTGCTTGCATTTTCTAATCAGAAAAGGGATGCTAATTTAGGTTCCTTAATGTGTGGTGGTAAGAGACTTCTTCAATTAACTGAATTCTATAGCTCAGAAAATAAAAAACGGGGATACAAAGGGAGTCAGGCTGGAAAGGCAGAAGTTCTCATTAAATCAAAGGTCCAATATTCATTACCTCCAGCATCTGGGGCTAAACACTAAACATGGAGATCATCAAAGGGGGTTTAATGGGTTAAATTGAGAATATAATCTAATTAAAATATTAGATACGAGTAAATAGCTCTTTGATATTCATCTGAAGGTTTCATTAAAATAGGTACTTGAGGTTTGTATTACGGGGGGATTATCACTTTTAAGCAGAAACAACAAGTTGAGGTTCCCTAATCAGAAATGCTTCAAAGTGTTGCCATTTGCTTTAAAAATAGAAGTAGAAAAGCAGCAACTGGCAGAGCACGGAAACATTTGCCCAGCCTAGCTTGGTGGATCATACCACCGGCATGCTACCTTCTACCAAGAGGGGGCAAATGCAGTTCCCAAAGGCAAGGAGGAAGGAGGTTGGGGCAGAGGGGGTTGTTCCAGAGGTTGAAGATGTCCACTGCTGCGGTTTGCGACGCGGAACGTTTCCCCTTCAACCTGACCCACGTTCCCCACTTTGGAAGATGCTTCTCTACCCAGTTTCGCCCAAAAGTAACTTAAGTACGTCACAAACTTCCGCCTCCGATGTCTAATTCAGCATATCTGGTGGGAAGCAGCTGGAAAGGCGGAGAGCTTCCCACCTCTGCTGGGTCAGGAGGGCTTTAAAGAAAGGAACATGACCTTTTTCCATGATGGAGAGATGCAGTATGGTGATCAGTTTTCCCAAATCAGGTTGTGAGCCTGACTGGAGATCCTCCAGGGTGTATTTCAGCAACTAACCCTCCTTCAGGAGGACTGAGGCATCCTGACGACCATAGGATCTAGGTCCAACTCACCCAGGACTCTATCAAATGAAAAGTATAGGAGTTTTCCAGCAAGAGGTGTCGTATCTCCAATGCTTTGACTTCACCGTACACCTACTGGAAAATTATCTTTCCTGTGAAACATCCAGCAAATGAGATGTTAACCCTGAAATGCGTTAAGTCTTAGACATTTCTATCTTCAACAAAAGGTGCATCTAGAAAAAGAGAAAGTAATTTCAGGGATACCCTCTCTTTTACTCCCCACCTTACCTTGCCATTGTTAGCCTTCTCCAAGGAGACTCAAACCCTTTATCTTTGCCCAAAGACTAACTCTCTCCCTCCTCCCATACAAAAGGGGATCTAATACATTGGATAAAGCAATTACACATAATCACAAAGTGGTGGTGGTTTTTTTTTTCCTTTTAACTAGTCTATTTTCTAAGAGATTTTAGTGTGTTTTCTTCAAAATTCCCTTGCTGAGTGTTCTAATCACATTTCATATGTTGACTAAATCCATAATTTACTAAGTTAAAGAAAGGGAACCATCATAACAAACCCATCTGTTTGTTGTTATTTTTATAGATTTAATCTGTTAAAAGCTGTTTCCTCTCAAACACGTAGCTCTCAATTATCCTTAGTTACTCAATATATTTTCCAACTGCTTCTGGCTAATAACAGATTGTCTGCATGATCAGCCAGTACTTGTTTTGAATTTTCTTGTCCCAGACGATGCTTCAAAATTTTGGTCTCGATGTGATGACTATTCACTGACAGGTAACAGAGCAACATGTGAATAATTACTGTTGTGTCACCAACAGCTTTGTGTGGTTCACATTTTTGTTCTCTTTCTTACCACCTAATGGATTATTTTTAGCTTTATTTCTGGACAGTCTGCCTAAGTCCCCTCTGCACTTCAAAAAGAAAATCATTGCTGGTATTGAGGTCATCAAATGAAACATGTTTATTTTTAATGTTGTGTAGATATGCCCATATATTTGACATATCTAAAAAAGACCCAGCTGTGACAGGCCAGCAGCTGGTTAGTCTGAAAGACGCAACTGCTACATCAGTTGATTTCAAAGCAAAATAGCAACCTAAATGACCATATTTAAAATACTACATATGCAACTGTTGACATTTTGAAAAGCTGACTCTAAAATTTAACAATGATTAAGCTTATGACACTTTATATTTCAAAGGAATGGTAAATCAATATGTGATTATTATGTGATCATAATTAAATAGTTCAGACATTTCTGCCTTGAAGATATCTTTAATAATTTCAAAATACTTATAAGATATGAAGGGTTCTGAAAGCAGCTATAACTTGCTTCTCCTTCAGATGTCTATTTTGCAAAGTTTCCAAGGATGCAATTTGAGCTAAACTGTTCCCATCTAAAGTCTGTGGCAGAACTCTTCCCTCTTTCATCTCTTCATCTGAATGTCTTGCCGTGAAAGCCTTTGGTCTAGGAATCTTCTTAGCATATTCCAGTGCCTAAAAACATGAAAATTGGGGTAACTGATTAAGAGAAAGCCTGAACAACACTTCCAAGAAAATGTAGGTGTTTCTATGTTGAGTAAAAGTAGTACATCTCCTAATTCCTGATTTGGTTTCTGACGGTGTTCAATACCAGGTGTTCCAGTGGTGACTGCAGGTAACCTCTGCAGTGGGCAAAATAGCCCACCTTGAAGAGATTTGTTTTCTGACACCACTGGAGGCCACCTTAAATACTGAAGCAGTGTTTTTTCTTTAAAAAAGATAAAGCAACACGAGTCTATTAAGTGTATAAACGTTTGTTTGTTTTCAGTCTCATTAAGCTCTTGTCCTCAGTCATCTCTTAGAGCAGGGAGTTCTGCAGGTTAACATGACAAGGCTGGAACCTGAGCGCTCCTATGACAACTTCTAAGGAATTGATGTATTGAAAGGCTTAAAATATTAAAACAAGTTCTGAAATGAAATGTAGGTAATTGTTTTAAATTCTCTGGGTCTTGATTTAATATAATCTCTTGTCAAATTCCTTTTTGGTTATTTTAAAAGCTAACACAGTTCTGAACAAAAAACCATTTCTGAACAAGTGAGGATGGTATGAGACATGCCAACCCTTGACAGATTAACTGTTTCAGAGTAAAACAAGAGTTCCCAGAGTTCTGTTATAACCACGCATATTCTGTTGTACCTGCAAATTTCTTCACCAGCAACACCCAGCCTGTGCAGGACCCACACATGCTCTACTGAGAGAATGAACAGCATCATGAAATAAACCACCATGCCAGTTCTTTTCTGCTGCAGACACTCCCCATGTGTATGTATATGCTGAACAAATTGTGTGTATGAAGTCTTCTGAAGGAATTGAAAGCCCTTTTGACACCCAAAGAATGCAGTTTCATCTCTTTGTGGTTAATGTGAGGTGTAGAAATAAATGCAAGTAACTGAGGAATTCAACTGGTATTAAACCCCAAAACTTTCTTCCTGAAGCGTGCAGCTCTCATTTGTCACCTCGCAGAAAGACCCGTTAGCGTGCTTTCGGCACCAGGAAGGTGAGCTCCTGCAGAACTGATTGGAAAAAACATGCTATGTCCAGAGCTTTATTACTTCCTGCAGTAGGGAACAGGGGCTCCCTTTGTTTATGTATGCCACTGTCATGTAGGCAGTTGTTGCTCATTTGGGCTATTTTTGAAGGCCAGTGAAGGCTAAAGTGATGCAGTATGGGCTTGAAAAATAAGACCAATTACTGTAGCTATGCAACTGAAGTGAAAAGAGTTTGTGAGTGAGGCTGACAGGCAGGTGGATAATAGACTAACAAGAGGATATCTGTGGTCCATTAGAAGAGTGCACTCTGCAGTAGTGTGGCCTCTACTGCTGATGTGAAGCAGAGCATGTGCTGCACTGGGTAATGTTCCTAGAGGGGGGTCCCACTCTCCTTTATTCCCATCCTCTCCCCTGGTAAACATCACTAGCTGTTTAAGCCAAGTTGAGCGCTAGTAGCTTGGCTGGAGTACTGCTCCATTTCCACTTGGTACGCTCTCCTGAAGGGCAAGGCAGATGCATGGAGTGAAGAATGCTGCTGGCAAAGAAATCAGCAGCTCTCCACATACAGCCATAACAGAGTAGAAGCAGGGATGAGCACTTGCCAGGATCCCACGACAGCAGAAGTCCTTGGAATTGTTAAAAGGAAAATCAAAATGGAGAAGCTATTTTAACCTACTGTGAGTTAAATGTATGCTTTTCTTTTTCTTTGTGCCAAGTCCAGAATCTCTCCCTGCATGCATTTTAAAGGGACTCTGTTCTTACCTTCTGTCTTGACACTGAAGATTTGACATGGGGTTTTATAGGTAACCTCTGAAGCGAAGCAATGTTTTTCTTATTGTGTTCCTTAATTTGCTTTGCATATTCCTTTTGTTTCTTTAGCTTCTCTTTCTGACAAAAGGAAAAGAGTGCATGGTTAATTAAATGTCTCAGTGAGTCCACCAATGGAACACTTTTTCCAGCCATCTTCCATTTACACCTCTGTTGCTGTTTAACTTGGCTGTGCTATTGATCATTCCTCAGCAGAACAGAACAGGCAATCCTGATAAATGGCACAGCTTTTTTAGTCACTCTTCATTCTTAAAAGCTTTATCTTGGACCGCATCGAGGACAGAGCCCAAAAGAAATGTGACAGATGCATCTTTGTTTGGAAAGTTTCAGTGTACCTGTTGAGTTCTAAAATGGCTGTGTTCATTTCTCTCAGCTTTTGCAATGACTTTTAAAACCTCTGCACTTGCTGTTAAGGCCCAGAATGACACGCTTCATTTACTTAACTGATATTCTGTGTCTTTATATTTCCAGCAATTCATTACACTCAAATTCAGCAGTTTGCTCCACCTTGTCCCTGTTATCAGCCACCTGTCAGTGCAGTGACACCCCAGTGGCATGCCAGAAGCGTTACGATGGTGTTAACATCCTGGGCTGTGCACTACTCTGTCCATTCCAATTTCAGATCTCCAACCTGCTTCATTTATGGCACGCAGGGAGAAAATACAGGAGCTTCTCAATGACTCCAAAAGGATGATCATTTTATCATTTTTCCTTCCTGCTGTCCTACAATGCTTCTATAAGGAATGCCATATGAAGCACCTGTTGTCAGATTAATGGGGTCTCAAAGCTTGCAGGATGGAGTTTGCAGCACCCTAGATGCACAGCTGCTACCAGACCCTCATGATCAGCAGAGACCAGGTCAAACAATACCAGTCATTCAGATACTTGTTCTGACCAATCCCATTCCAACAGGGTAATGCTCATCCAGCCATATCCTTCTTGGGTTTACACAACTTCTTTTACTCCCGCCTTGAAGGTCAGGCAAACCTCCTACGCTGGGAATGACAGTACAAGCCAGTCACGTCAGTGTATAAT